CAAAAAAGGAGAGTATCAGTAGATTTCATCTTCACTGCAATAAAATAATTAAGTTCATAACCTAGAACATAATAGGAAACAAATCAAATTGCTATACTTTGAAATAATTTTGAACTGCTTTCATTTCAGACTAAAGCACAGTTGTATAACTATATGCAATTGAATAAAAGAAAAACCTACTTTTTGACAGCCTCCGCCTGTTCTGGTGTATAATTTTTCTCCTCTGGAGCACTATGAGTGGCACTACCATTTGCTGTTCTGTGACGTAGATTCTCATCCCTGGTCTCATGTTTGGCTCCAGTTGACATACCATTCTTTGACAAACTTTCAATTAAATCTGGAAAATGGATACAAATGCTATTTTTGTAACCAGCACAAAAGTCATTGGATATTCCATCACAGGGAACCTAATGCTTGATAACACTTGCACTTAACTATCACATGGGAAACACAAAGATTGTGCAGGTGGACAAGTACTAATTTACATTACTTTATTTTTTTAAACAAAGTATTAAAAAAGAGATTGTAGCTGACAACAACAATGACATGAAATCTGTTTTGTAAGACTCACTTAGAATTATTTTATAGTCTCCAAATGTGTCTATTGCCTTTCTCTTCTTTACAGTTTCTCACTCACTAGAATATACAGATAAGTTCAAACACCTTTTGGGATAGTTTCTGTAGGTTTGTAAGTTCCTAGTCAGTTGATCAAATAGGTTGTGAACCAAAATATTACATGTAGTTAAAGAGTATATTCCCCACATAATGTGATCATCCATAGTGTGATATGCCACATAACCTCTCAGAGAAAAATTTATTTACCATTGAAAAAACTTCAGCAATAATTTCAGGGTCATCAGGAAATCAAACACTGTATTAACATTATTGTACAAAGCATCCATACAAGGATATGTCTTTTCTATTCATTACATCCATCAAATCAAAGGCTATCATACTAAGCTGAACCTCGGTTCTTTAAACAAATAAATTGCTCCGGCTCATACTTAAATCAGTGACTCAAATGTTATTCTACCTTTATCTAATAAACCTAGGCTTATAGCGTGAGGATGACAACATGCAATTCTCACGATGACAGCTAATTTTACCGAACACAACATACACGCTTGAATCTAACATAAAATTCAAACATCTAATCGTCGCGGCTACAGTGTCCTAACCGAACGTTAATGCTTAAGGAAAAATAAAAAGTATGTAACTCCATTTTTTGATTCCTTGATATAACTCTAAACGTCGCTTCGACATTAACTTTAATCGCATGAGAAAAACGGACTTCGTGTAAGCTTCCGTAATGCTAATGTTCTGAATAATGTTCAGTGACGATCCCCATCGCAAAAAAATTGCAAACATCCTGATGGATAGAGTTGAAATAATCAAACTTAACATATTTTTCTCTCTTACTTAAAGGTTATTGGTAAATTTCACGGCTCGTTCAAGAAAGTAAACTAAAATAATGATATTTTAGCCGGTTACGACATCGTATCATGAGTTCTTTCACCATTCTTCTATTCCAAATTCCGCGCAAATTTCACCTACCTTCAACTTCTTTCGATGGATAAAGCTTCTGTGCCTTATGGAGAAATTTAAAAGCTCTCTCTTTGTTCCCATCTTTGAGATAATTATCAGCAAGTCTACGGCATCTTAGTGCCTCATCTTTATTGCCGTCCATTTTGTATTTGTCATTATCAAACTGCTCATGCGTCAGAGATGAACTAATTCCCAGCTTACCCGGTATGAAAGATCCGTGCAGGTCAAGCGTTTAAGGTACTTGCGCTCGGGAGTCCTAAAATTATTGAGTATCATCTTCTCTAGCCTCTTTTCTCAACCTCACGATCACATGTATCTCGGTGAGCTGCTCATAAATTTGTGTTTATTTTAGACTGCGATTGACCCTTAGATTGCGAGGGTTCCTGCAATTTTGCTGGGCTCCACAACAAATAACTATTTGGAAAATGAACCCACGCTCTTTTCAAAAGAACAGCGGAAATCGAGCTTAGATATTTGATTGCAAGTGTGCTCAACTATGAAAGTTTCGCTCCAGGTGAGTAAAACATTTAAAAGATAATCGAGCTGTTACAGAACACTCTCAGAACGAGGGGAAATCGACCAAAAAGACTGTCATTCGACGCTTGGAATGACCTTTTACAGGAGCCATTATTGAGTAATGGGCTCCTGCCTTTTATTAATGCATTACAACACACAGATACATCAATGTTTTGTTCGTGTTTTCTTACTCGGAATTAAAAGTACATTTTAATTTACAAATTTGAAAACCTAGCAAACGTTGCATCTGGAGGAAATCCACTCAGTTACAGCTGGTCTTTCAGGTTGGCACAGGCTTCTTTGTCAGCGCGGCTACGAAGAAGTATATTAAAACACGACATGAATGAATAACTCGGGCTGCTGTTAAAATCTCGCATAAAGCACTGGTGTATACTTGTCCAGCGGTATCTCATCGAGGACATCTACGTCCGGGAGTTTTGGTAGAAAGCGAGCGTGCTAGAGAGCGGGACAATAGTTTGTATGTTTGAGGTAAGCTCTTGTTTTGAAGTCTTTAGAGCATGCCTTTTCGGTTTCTAACTCTTTGAGCACTCATTCCAAGAAAGAAATAATATAACAACATTCTAATGCCAAAGATGTCTCATTGACTGAGCTTCTATCTATCTTGTAAAGGGACAAAAATGAAAGCTTCTGGTCAATGTCAAAAAGAAGTATATACATTTTTATCACAATAACAAATTTACATTCTTAACGTTGGTAGGGACATGGGCGATCTGATCGGTTAAGAAAGTGGCGAGTTATTTTTTGCCTTCGACACTCGATTGAAAAAAGCTTTATACCTCACGTAACTTGTAAACAAAGTTGGCCCAGCGCCCTCCAACGGGCCCTAGACAATTTTCAGACGGTTGGTACTTCGGAAAGGTGCTATTTAACGAAACATCACTTGTGCAGAAACACTCATCCGATTGGCCATATTTGTCGTACGTGTCGCATGCGTTAAGGCCAGACCAACATTCACCGTAGAACTGAATGCCAAAACACTTAAATCCCTAAAAGATAATCACCAAAAGAAAAATTTCCGTATAGCACATGGTTATTTCTAAAACACGCGCAAAAAGAAGCTCCTCCGTTTTCTCGCGTGTGACTCGCCCCTCGCGTGTAACTCGCCTCGCGTGCTTCGCTCTGTCTCGCATCACACTTGCCTCCTTTCTCCGGGCCAAACGTCAACTCTGTTCTCAAGTTTTTTTTCTCATCAGGAAGACGGAGAGAGGACCTGGGAACGAGCTGTCGTGATTGGCTATTCACAGATTTGCGGAAACCTGCGATCCTGTCGAGAGCTACTGAAAGGGAAAATTACGAATAAAATACTGAGTGGTTGAGGATTTAATTTACAATCACCCTCCAAACCTACCCTTTCTTCCGCTTCCTTACGGCATTTTTGGATAACTGTTTCGTCTAGGTTTGACCAATCCAAACCGTTTTTTCTGTAAGACGCCAGGAGATCAGGCATAGCTCTACCACTTCCACTGCGGTCTCGGTAGCATCCTTTTGCGACCTGTATGCTAGCTGTAGTAGAAAAACAAAAAAACTTCATCTTTTATTATCACTGACAGGCACTAACATGAGGTCTCGACGGGGTTGAACCGACAGCCGTCAATCGGCCTACAATTTAACGCAATTCAATTCAAACGCTTTAGAAGTCATCCAGATCTCTCTATTCTAGCTGCTTGCCATGAACTGTTCTAGATCTCAAAAATTTTTGAACTTGTAAACTAGTCTCCCATAGTTTTCAAATATACTCACTCTTTAGTCACTTTTCTTTATTGACTTTTGGCTAAACTGACGAGTTCGAGATAACTGTATTCGGGGTAAAATCAATATTCTGATGTTTTAAAATTGCTCTCTTTATTGACCACGACACGCCGCGCCATTCCTGTCGTTCGACCTCATTACAGCTAAGATTAAGTTGAGAACCCTTCCAGGCAGTCCTGAAAGCTTTCGTTAACTTTTATCATAGGGAGGAAAAAACTATTGAGCGATACATGCCACGGCGATTTTCTATTGTTGAAAACTAAAAGATCATTAAGAGCTTTCGTTAACAATTTACTGATTTACTCGGTAATCTGAATAACTCAATTGTGATAGGAGACGTGTTTTTTCATCATGGTAACGATAAGAACTATTATAAATTATATTGAAGGTCGCGATTTTTAGTGAAACTAAAATTGATTCTATATCCTGAGGAAAATGATTGGACGTGCTTTTAGCGAGTTATTTATGATACAGCTACTATGCTGTATAAAAAAAAACACACACAAACAATTTCCTATGAAAATTGTTTTTTATCTAAATGGAGTATACTGACTTCTTCCATCGACCTCCACGTGCCATAATACACACAATGTAACCTCAAGAATGAAAAAGGACTTTACTTGAAGTAACTGCATATTTTCTGCTAAAAGATGGAAATGAAAAAGGAAAAGATTACAAAAAAGAGAAAAAATATGTCATGGAACATCCTTTCTAAATAATGTCGGGGGCTCCTAACAATGTATCTTTTCTTCCATTGCCTTTTCGGTAAAAATTCCGAACAAGCTGATAAAGGAATAGAGCCAAGTTTTCAGGTTCCATTTTTGTTGAAGTTTTACATTTAAGAATTTTAAAAAGTGCACTCCAGCGCATTCTACTTTTCTCCAGTTGTGATGAGTACATTTGGATCTAGGTAAATACGAGAGAGAAGAGGATGAATTGCCTTTTGTTTTTTCGATTTGTCTGTTCCTGGGTTAGTAAAAGTATTGCCTCTACAATGTTTTCGTATTATATGTTTCAGATTTGATGTAAAACTCAGGCCATGATCTCAGGAACATGACAGCCGTTCTGTTCAGACGGATCAGTAAAACTTAAATGCAGGTAAGTTGATTACAAGGAAAATCCGACCAGTTAACAATCTTGATGGGTGATTGATAACCTATATCGGCAACTCTGCTTGAAATCATTCCTTGTAGATATGCCTAGATTTATTGCGATGTGTAGATTAAGCCATACTTTGTAATGCGGTATCACAATTCAAAAAATTTACGGTTCCAGAATGGGAAAGACTCAGTATGCGAAAATTGCACCCATTGGTCGAGAACCCCCAAAAAACCATTAAGTTTTCCTTTTACTAAAAATTCTAGAATTTCGAACTCTAATCCCGTAAGTAACTTACCTCAGCTCTCAGATGATGAGGAAAATAACTGAAACTGCTAAATGCAACTATACTACATAGACAGTGTGATCGATCTTTATATTCACAGGAATATCAGTTGTAAGAATAACGTCTCAAAGGGCTAATGAGTTGCAACGAGCGTAGGAAATATTCAATAAGATACAGACTAATAAAACAGAGGAAATTAAAACTTACCGTTAGTCAGACGAAGGCTGCACAATTTTGATAAAACTCGACTGATGGGTCCGCCGAAAAGATCAGCAGGCTGCGAGCTGAAGAGCAAATTTACGGTGGCGCGGTACCAAACAGTTGTAAAGCAAATAGATGATGCAGGCTCGAATCCCGTTTCAGGGCACCTCTTGACAAGTTGGGAAGCTTAATGGCTCGAGAACTGAAAAGTCATAAAAACAAAAGAAAATTACATAAGGCAACAAAGGATATTACTTACTGTAATCGATGAATTTTCGAGTGAGTTCCTGTTGACTTTCACCACGAAACTCAAACAGTGCGCCTGTCAAAAATTATTTTAAGGATAAACTCGGAGGGCTTTCTCTTGAAGTTTTCAAAGACAAGAGGATGAGGTTGACGCGACTTTGATTCTAGCGGTAAAAATTGATACTAGAAGCGGATATTTGGAATAAAAACAAAAACCCTGCAAAACAAAATTTACTGCATGTAATTTTAGCGCGTTGGTTCGTAAACAAAAAAGGAAATTAAAAGAGGACAGAGGTCAATAAAAAACTTAAAGTTCCTCATGGATCGGATTCCCATCCAATGCCGCTTAAACACCCAGATAGAAAATTTTTAGACAGACTAATCGATTTCAAACAATAAGGTTGAAATATATTGTTTAGTTTGCTAACAGGCCTCAATTTCCTGCAGTATTTCTTCAATTCCCGGCGTCTTTAGCACTGAGCAATTAACTTGACAACAATGTTGACTTTCTTTAGGGGAAATATCAATCAAACTATTGCACGAGACATTTTGTTACGACGTTACTTCATTAACATCCCGCTGATCAATTAATTTTCGGAAAATGCAGCCATTTTTTCCACTTTCTCATAGCGTAAATTCTCATCTAATAAATTAGTCATATTATTACAAATGAGTTTCGTCCAGTTTTCGAACCGTGTCTCGATATTTGACCGCGCAAATTGAGCCTAAAAAACGCGTCGTGACCCATTCAAACTGGGTGAAGCAAAACACAGATGGCGTTGAACAAACATGGCTGGCCGTTCTTTCACGTTGTCGCGTAGGTTTACGCAAGGTCTGGCCGAAACAAAAGGCTTTTAGGAACAAAGTGTCTAAAATACAATCTAGCCGATCTTTGTTAAACCTTTTTGAACTAAACTGTAGATTTATTTTGGAGAACAAAACCAACGACTGGCATATAGCATTTAAGCCGGTCACAATTTTCAAAAACCACTTCTCGTAACTGTCTCCAAGAGTGAACCTTGGGATGCGAGGAATTTTATTGACGCCTTTTTGTTAAAGTTTTTTTTCTTTTTCTTTTTTGGTTTAGTTCAAGTTCATTTGCAACTTTGGAAATATAATTATAAAGGACAAAAAATAAAGGCGAAAAATTCTACTCCAAATAAATGGCCTAGCAGTAACATTCAATTAACAGATAAACTGCTTAAAAGTTACAGCGGGGCCATTAACGTCTAGCTCCGGCGCGCTATAAAGCATATTTTAAAACTTCGAGTCGATTCGTTTAAAATGATAGAATGTCTACAAAAAATGATAAGATGGTTGCTTTCAGCTAAAACCAAGTCAGGTTTGTTCAAAATGTCAGAGAGGCCAAAACAACACTGATGTCCCAGATTATCGAGGTGTGAATCAGGTACGACTGAGGCTGCTACCACATAAAACGCTTCACCAATATTCAGCAGAGAAGTATTTGAATTTAGATACTAAGAAAAGTGAAAATTTCACGGGCCACGAGTCACTTTTTTTTAAAATTTGGCGTTAAAAACCCAAAGACATAATCAAAAAGCACCAAATTTGTCCTAAAAAAAATCGAAAGGTAACGAGCATCTCGTGATTAAACAAGATAGAATTTTCTTGTGTTCCAAATAGTGTAAGTTTTACATGCGTTGTGTAGATGTTACTGTAAGTCATTTTTAAGTTTTAGGAGCAAAATTAGGCTATGTACTTACTTACAAGGGGTTCAGCACAGGCTCTGAAATTCCAAATTCTAATCAGATTTGAGTTTCATTTTCACCTCGTGCTTCTTTTATTCAGTCTTTGTACCTTAAAAGTTTATTAATCTACAAACATGACAATGGACAATTCTTTTACTCACAGTCTCTCTCACAAGACAAACAAAGCTGAAGAAACTCTCAGATAGAAAACCTAGAAAATGTCAATGAAAAAAATTCAGACGTCAAGTTTGATTGACACACAAGGTAAAACAAACTCACTATGCACGAAAACGCACCAATTGCTGCGAACCAACATGCTGCATAATTATAAAGACGTTTAATTACTAGACCTGGTTGTTGCAGTTTATAATGAATGGTGACTCTTTTCTACAGGCCCACATTATTAGCGTTTCTCTGCCCGCGAGAAGATTTGGGACGAATCGGGGAGAGGTTCGCCGGAGGTCTGGCACTAATCGTTATCAGTGCTAGACCCCTTTGCAGAACTCTCGTTGCTCCAGGCCTCACACTCTTCCCGGACAAAAACAAGCTCGCTAATTATGGGAGCCTGGTCACGAACTAAACCGAGCGAGACTCCCTGAGACGCCTGGCAAATATTGCTAGATCCAACTAGATCCAATATGGCGGAATTCACTCACCCTATCCCAGAATTCGCGCGGAAAAACATGACAGAGTCACTGAACATTAAGGTGGCTCAGATTGTTTATTTTTTTTCACAGCTTTTCTTTTGTTTCCCATAAATTGTTGTCAACAAATTTCTAATTATTTTGCATTATTTTTTATTCACCTTTATGACATATTAGATTACCTTAACAGTACTACGAATGCAACCTCTTGGAAAACCCTTAGTTTTAGCTTTATTTGCCTGTAATTCAAAAACGGGCTACATGATTTCCATTTCAAGATACATATTTCTGGAAAATTTTGGAAAAAAAATCCGCACTTACGGTTCACTGCTACCATAATTTTTGGAAATTTAAACGAAAAGTGAACGAAGGAAGAAAACAAAACATAATTTTTCTAAAATTTGTCGGCACGTTTGGTTTTTAAGTTTAACGACCCTGGCTTATCTTACTTATTGCTCGGGTTTTTGGTCAACAAATAAGTCATTCAAAGAGTCGGTTTTCCCCCTTGTTAACAATAAATATGACGACAGCTTTTACTCTGGCAGCCGATACAAAAGGAAACAAGGACGTGTGTTTTCGGTTCTAATATCACTGTTCATCCAAACATAGAATTTAATTTATTTGGTTTAAGTAGCAAACTAATCAACGGCGATTAAAACTTTTTATGTTTCATTGGTCCAAGACCAATCGTTGCTGATTCATTTTAATAGATCCGGCAGATAGTCGGCTTGTGTTATATATCGTGTCTTTGTTCGTAATTACCCGGAAAATTCTACGATTCTCAGCGGAATGAAATCTTCCGGTCATAATACTTTGCGACATAATTCGTGTGTAAAACATCTTCTCGCAGTAAGAGAAAAACTTTATTTTGTCTTTATAAGTGGTTAATAATAATGAGTAAAAAAAGACGAGCGTCTCTTCGATATCGCCTGATCAGTTACTGTATACAGTTCTTCGTAAGATGATTAAAAAAAATCATTAAGGATTTATTTTAATTTCATAATATTTATTTAATCATTTCGATCTTCCGCCGATTTTCTGTGATCTTAATTTTACTTTTGCGTTTACAAAATCTTTAAAAAAAATCACATGCACGTACTTTCTGTAGAGTGCGATAGATATTTGGCAGGTGCGCTCAGAAATCAGTCCGAGAGCTTTTTGGAAATTGCGCAAACACCGAGAAAAAAGAAATAACTAGATTCTAGAGCACGTTTGCGGTACAGCATATTAAAGGATATTCATGTCTCAGTCTTCGAATTGAGAAAAAAATGTCTTGATGGTAAGTCAATTGTCTTACAGAGTACTATGGTTTTGATCTAAGAACTGTACATTTTGTGGTTTAACGCTTCTTAAAGTAAGTTTCTTTGAGAACAACAATCCCGATAATGTTTACAGATCCTTTTCCTTTCCTGTCAATAAATGTTATGGCAATGTTTACAGTTTTCAAGACCATTGGCCACAGACCTCTTAATTATCAACTTCACTATACCCTGAAAACAAGCGACGACAAAAGATCTCACTTGGCGATTTAGAATGCTTATGTGATTTGCGACATATGGTGACATTGTCACATCCTTGAAAACCGACATCATGCTCTGTAGGAGGTTTTGATGCATGCGTTTTTGCATTATTTGTTCATAGAAAACGAGGCTTTTTAATTAAAATCGACGAAAAGACATCCGCCCTCTCAGTGCGACACGGTCAAGGACGGGGAAAAATGTCTAAACTAACAGAGATTGTCTATTGTGGGATAATTTTACTTTTGGAATGCTGGTTTTCTTCGAGCTGCAGCGACAAAGGTTTGAATTTGAGAATAGCTCAGATAATTAAGGTATTAAGTCACCATTTTATCGAAAATAGTGTTCCGAGATGACATGGCACATGGCCCGGAATCTGCTCGCTAATGTTAAACCGACCGGAGCTTTTAACTTAAGTACTTCACAGTAAACGGGTTCGAATTCTTGTTGCATTGATTTATAAATGAAATCTAGCTAAGTTTTCGTAGAAAAATGTTAATTATATAGAATTTAAATGATACAGCCATCTTTCTTTTCGCGTTTTGCACAGCATGAGGCTAACATTAGCTACGTGATTAAGACCATTTGTTGGTTTTGCGTTACTATCCTTCCTTATACTAGAGAATGATTTTTTTAATCCACCTTTTCAAAATGCTTAGAGCAAAATAAAGTTCACGGAGTTTAACCATTTATTAAAAATTTCACGAACGCGCTATTCAAGATATCAACGATTTCGAAATCTCATAACTTTTGAATCAAGGTCAGATCCTAGAAAAATATTTCTTACTTTACCAGAAGTCATAAATGCCAAAATGAATTATTGTCAAATAATGGTTGGCAAAGGTTGATTTATTTTTCGTCTAAGCCTATAGCTACTGATCATTATGCAACAACTAGACGGTATGATCCATGACGTTTTTTCATCAAAGGATCATAAATCAGACAGACAGAGTCAAGCATATCGTTCGTACGTTAGCACAACTAGAAGGCTTTACTGAGTTTGATCGCTTTTTTTTTCTAATTTTATATTGAGCCGCTCTTGTAAGTTCTTTTCCTTACGGCTGAACTGACCAATTATTTGACAAAACCTAGATGTAATCATTTAAAGAGGAATTACCTCCAATGACATTTTACTGCTATTAATTGGAGACGTTTATGATTGAGGGAGGGTTCGCGAAGCCCATTAGCGTCCATGATGAATTGCACGCGCTACGCGTCGCTGAAAACTGTCAATTGAAAAATTTTAGCCAATCTGAACAAGGACCGCTAATGGTAGACTCTTCATATCTTTTCTTTTTATCTTTATCGTTTAGTCGAGGTGCAACAACTAAAGCAAAATTTTTCTCACAGCGCAAATTTCAGCTGGTCAAAATGATAAGCGCTTTAGTGAATAAATTTCAACCCTCAATTGAAACTTTTTATGATGGCAATCAATTTATTTTTATCTGTTTTACTTTGAAAAGGAACTCCTTCAGCAATTACTGTCAACATAACTTGTGACAGGAACTTATATTTGTACGTGGATGGCAAATATTTGGGTGGCGATGTTGCAGATGCTAAACAAAAGCATTACTTGACCAACGAAATAATGCCGCACAGTCACGTGGTCGCTGTACGTTGCACAGCTTCCACCCCACCCTGGCAAGGGGGTATATTGGGTTCATTTGAGAACGGACTGGTGACTGACACATCTTGGAGGTGCACCACATCAGCTGCATATGGATGGAATATGAGAAGTTATCGCGATGATGATTGGCCGATGGCAACTTCACATGGAGCTAACAGTCCTTCCACTTTCCCTTGGGGAAATATAGACAGCATTGACAAAAAAGCTGCTTGGATCTGGTCAAGCGACAACAAAGATGATTCTGAAGTTTTTTGTCGGCATAAGCTTGTTAAAGAATGCACAGAAGGTTTGTTATTATTCTAGAAATTCACATCGACCAGACCATTTTCATTAACAGTCATAAACTAACACTGACTGCGAACAAAATGAAAACTTGAAGCAAAAAACAAGAAAATTACGGTGGGGAATCGAGAGGAACTAGGTCGCCATTGCTACGAGTTTTGCATTTGAATGGTTAGGAGGCTAGAGAAATTTTTTTAATCAATCCAAGAGCAAAGTAAAAGTGGAACTAAGACCATGAAAATCTCGGATTTTTACATTTTTAGCAAATGGTTAGATATTAGCTGTCATGGTTAAATGACCTGCACAACGTTAGGTCATGCCAAAAAAGACTCCCTGCTACCCCACCCCCTTTCCCTTACTGCGTGGTGTGGAGCGAACAAGTCAAGCTGCCAATAAAATAATAATAATAATGATAATAATAATAATAATAATAATAATAATAGTAATAATAATAATAACGATAACAATAATTCTAATAACTTCAATCGTTAAAAGAATAATTAGAATAAAGCTTAAAAATTACTTCCTTTTTTTCCACAGAAAAACAGAGTTACTTCCAGACACCAAAGTCTACCCGAGACATTGCTATTCAAGGCTTCCTTCTTCTTAAAGTAAGAGTGGCCGGTGTGATTGAGTGCGGGCTTAAATGTGGTCAAAACAGCGCATGCGTATCTTTCACGATACAGAGTTCGGACATTCGTGGATCTAGGTTGTGTGAACTTCATAATGTCACGACCGAGAGTCATCCGCAAAGTGTTGTTAGGAAGGAGGGTTATCAATATCACGAGGTGGTGCAGACATTTTATTAACTGAAATAAATAACAAGTGATCCCCTGTTAGCAAAACAAGATAAGGTGGAAGGGTGACCGTAGGAACAGTAAGGCGCCACCTCAGATTTCTTTTTAAAAAATTCTGAAACATTTTCCACCGACGACTGGGAAGAAGCTCTTTTTGCAGATGGATAAGGTCATTCCTTCGTAAACTATGGCGTTATCTCCTCTCGCGACTGGTATTAAGCTAAAAAGGGCAACATTGCATCATGTACTTTATAAGTAACACTGGTGTTCAAGTCTCCGGACACTGCTTTCAGGGGTTTGAAAAGAAAGTTAACATCTGAATACGAAAATTTTTAGTAAGTAGACTTAGCGTCAAAGTGGTTGGTGGGCACCCTCAATTTTTTCTATTTTGTTTTGCTTATTTTTTTTAGACTCGATCTTAACTGCTCCACACTGAACGGTTTTGAGAAGTGAACCCTTGCATTTTTATGAGTAAAACCAATTTTTTACTCCCTTCCCCCCTACTTTCCTCATTCACCCCCCTGTTCATGATTTGAATGAAGTTCCAATCAATACAGAAACTGAAGCTTCGATCGCTGAACCTCAACGGTTGTCGATTAGAAATCACTCACTGAGTTGTCAAACAGAAAAGTTACCAAAATGCATCGCAACTTTGATCTCGTAGAATTTCTTCTTGTTTACTTAATCACACTCAAGCCACGGGGGAATGTTGCAGCCTGGTAAAAACGAGAAGATTGATCTGTTATTGAGTTGTGTTGAACGTACATCCCATTTGCTTGCTTCAGTAAAAGCGATTTGACCATGATACAAACGTCGCTAGGCGCACGTAGTTGTGAAATTTTTTTAAATGGAGAAGAGAACGGATACACACGGAAAAGTTTTGGACTGGAGGCCTGGATGGCGCTTCAGCAATTGTTTATTAAGCTACTCTTCTTGCCCTTAAATTTTGTACACTAAACTTATCAAATTCTCCATGTGAAACGCATCGAGATCTCCCTTAGTGCACCTACAATTTTGAGTATTAATATTACATAACTTCCAGGGGAAGTATCAACACTAATCAGCGTAATTAGATTAATGTTCTACTGAGTGCCAAAAGTAGAGCAGTTTTCAATCGACGTACGAAAGTTTACCACGATCGCTTTGATTTTGCCTAACTCAGTTCGCTCTGTGATTGGACCAGAATTACTTTCTCCACCTTACCGACCAATCGGATTCCAAATTAAAACCAATCATGATTTGGTCGCCCGCGTTTTCCTGCGTTTCGTGCAGTTTGCATGTTTTTACTCAGAGTTTAAATTGGCTAATGATGATGTCGACCTTCGTTGCGATTGGCAGCGGTGATTACTTACGTTTTGGCTTTCGAAACTCAACTGAAAACTGCTCCAATACAGGATTGCATTAGCTTTGCTTTACTAGGCTCTCTAATTCGCCAATCCAATTCAAAACTATGGCCAATCACGACTTGGTCGCCCACGCCTTGCTTGTTTTTACTTTGAAATCTCATTAGTTCCCCCATTATAATTAACAGTAGGTTGTGGTCTGTGTCTCCATTGTTCCCACACCACAGGAAAATACATGAGTACTTCACTGATTAATAGCAAGGACGTAAAAATGAATCCCACAAGTCAAAGCGCACCATGAACAGCTGCAGTAGCCCTGGGTACGTGCTAAGGGAGGCAAACGTTTCTCTCAAGTGATCATAGCCTGTGCAATTAACTAAGGGATGTTTTAAGTGCATGTGTAACAGAAGCTGTACTTTTAAGATGATAATGAAACGAAAAACCTCACATTACAAATGTCATCGTTGTTGAAATACTTTTATATGAAAGGGGTCTCAATGATATAAACCAAAAAAAATAGCTGTTAGGCGTAAAAACTGAAAAATTTTAAATATTAGTCATAGAAAAGTTAACCGTAAAAATGTTTCTCTTAATCGCAGCGGAAAAAATTGACCGTTAGACGTACAATGGCCAAATTTTTAATCGTCAGTAATAATAAAAGTTAACGGAAACGGAAAGAAGTTAACTTTTAGCCAAAAAATGGCCGATCTTAACCGTCGGCCGTAAAAGCCATCACCTTATTGAGACCCTCTACCGACCACGCAGTTGCCTTTGCGCATTTTGAAATTCATCTTACTTCCCGTTAACGCAACTTATGCTCAAAGCTCAACGTTATCCTAACTACTTGCATGAAAGGCAGGTTCCAAGAATTGCGTAATAATTTGGAACATGTAAGCTCAGTAAATTTGTATTCTATTCTGAATAGAAAACCTGCAGATATGACAAACCGTCAGTCTCTCAGAACACTCCTTGCAGGCTCCGTGTCCACATAAAAACACCATATTTTTATTTCTCTCCATGCATATCTGGCATTGTCTGTCGTCTTGCATGGCGCGCAATTCATTTTCAAGAGAACGCACCCGATCTTGGTAGTCTGTCGAGTCCATCAAGGTTGGTGCATTGATTGGCGCGCCTTCTGCAACACAATGAAAAGATCACTTTAGAAAATCGGTCCAGACACGAGTGAAGGGCGTAAAAGCGAATTCTTGTCGAAACATATGTTGCTATCTGTAGCATGAAGCGACTGAGAGTATTGCTGCCGCTACAAGTTGGCGTGTTGGTCCACAGCAGATTATCTCCAGGTTCTTTGTAGCTTCCAGGCTGCCAATTAATCTCCAGAGTGAAGAGGAGCACTGGGAATACATAGAGTCTTGCCAAAGAGCGAATAGAACGAAACAGGCTGGGCTCGAGCTCAGAACTCTAGATCCGCAGTTCAGCCTGCTCATCCCCAGACCGTCTGTCACCACGAAGCGACTATGATTATTGCGTATCTACTACATGGAATGCAAGCTTATCACAGGGAGCTTGCAAGGTTTTTACATTAAGCCTTTTGCTAATTCTACCACCGACTCACAACTCGTGACTCCAGAACGAACCTTCCGCAGCCCCCCCTCAAATTGTTAAACCCCCCCCAAACCCGGTTGTGCATAGTGTGCAACTGGAAAGTCCTCAGTAAAACAGTTATTAATGAAAAGGGGAAAGGAAAACACGAACCTATCTAACATCAAAGTTTTGTTTAACTGAGAAGTTGGAAGGAGACGACAACAAAAGCAAACAATTAAAGGAAAATTAAAGAACGAAACAAAATACCTGCTGCAATTTTTTGCTGAATCTCCTGATTGCACGAAAGGCAACGCTTTGCTTTGAGAGAACAACCTGCCGGGCAAGTAAACAAAAAATATTAATCAGGAAGTGTTACTCCCCATCAAGAAAAAACACATTGCTTGAACAATTAAGTGTTCGATGTAATTAAAACATTGATCAATGTATCTTGTTCGAGTTGAAGAGGAACAATCTAACAACCAATCGACCACCCGACCGACGGACCGACCGACTTCCCGACGGGCGACTGACACACTGACGGACGTACGTACGCACGTAAGTACGGACGGACGAACGAATGAATGGTACTAACCATTAACCCTTTTAATTCCAAGATCTCATTGGTAATTCTCCTTACCGTCCGCTAAACATTTCTTATGTTAGTTCGAAGAATTTGGTGTTGGATCAACTGATAATCTCGCTAACTGATATTTCTTTTATTTTCGTCTCTTCTCTCCTTGATATTGTAACGACATTGTAAGGAGAAATTCTGTATAAGTCATTCGTACGAGTTACGGGGTGACTGACTGATGATGTTTATGTCGGGGTGTAGAGGAAGTCAGGTAGCAATTGCACAAAATCGATCAAAAGATAAACATAGAAATCCAGGGCTTAAGAGGAAGATGTTATTCATCAGTGTGTGTGGTAAAAAAAAAAAAAGAAACAAATCTGAGTCCTCTACAAGCTAAGGATTCGAACCTAGATCCTTCGAGATTTGAGATCCGTGCTCCACCACCGAGCCCAGAGACCTCGTTAGTGACCTGCGCCAAGTGATAGGTTTATTTGTGACACTCGCCCAACATACTGTCAGGATCAGGAATGTCGGAAGTGTCGTGTGTATGTAATTAGATTATAACGGAGGAAAATTTTGAGCTCGGGCGTCAAACAGAGAAAAAAAATTTTCTGATTTGTCACGAATGAGGAACGAAGTAAAAATGTGATCAGGAACCTGGAATGTCGGAAGTGTTGTGTGTGT